TTGTTGGTTTAAAGCAAGAATAAACCGTTAAAATCAATGAAGATCAGTGAATGCATGTTTCAGACTGATTCCCAATCAAAACCCAGCGTTCATAAATCAGCTTATTTAGAGCGGTTTCTCAATACAATAACAGAGAGGGCAAGTATCGAGTCTTGAAGAACACATGAAGTGGCTCATTGATTAGAGCCAGAGGTCATTTACAACAGCCTGATGCTTTCCCACTAACAGCGGCTCAATTGAACTGATTGATAGACTATTATAGAACTACACCACATGCGCACATGATGATTTCTCCCACAAACCAGCCATAAAGCTCAACATGAAAGTCATCCCGCTCCAATTACAAGGAAATACGAGATCCCAGCAGATGAAAACTGCAGGACAGAGTCACAGAATGCTGTGGAAAACAAAATCTCATTTTCAGTCTCATTCATAAAGGCTTGAACTGAGAGTCTCACGCTATAAATAGCAGAATGAAACGACTGCACCGATCGCGTTCTGAATATAAAACACTTTTGTGTTCATTAATGTGGCATTAAAACTGATAAACGTTTAAATTTGACCTTAAATGTCAGAAATGTCCACAGGTTTAAAGACACAATTCACTCTGTCTTTGTTACGGTAAAATACAATCGTGATAGTCATTTACACATTAAATCTCGTTATCATTTACAAAAATAGTCCTTCATTTACACATTATGAAATACAAAAACGAAACCTATGGAAGCTTATTTAGGGTAGGAATTCTGACTTTATGTCTCATAATTCTCAGTTTATATCTCATAATTGTGAGCTTATATCGTGATTTTCAATTTATATCTAACAATCAGGTTTATATTTTGTGACGTGACATGTGGCCAAGTATGGTTCCATACTCGGAATTAGTGCTCTGCATTTATCCCATCCAAAGTGCACACACACAGCAGTGAACACACACACACCGTGAACACACACCCGGAGCAGTGGGCAGCCATTTTTTGCTGCGGCGCCCGGGGAGCAGTTGGGGGTTCGATGCCTTGCTCAAGGGCACCTCAGTCGTGGTATTGAAGGTGGGAGAGAGCGCTGTACATTCACTCCCCCCACCTACAATCCCTGCCGGTACGAGACTCAAACCCGCAACCTTTGGGTTACGAGTCCGACTCTCTAACCATTAGGCCACGACTTCCCCATTATATCAAATAGTTTATATCACAATTCTGAGTTTATATTGTAATTCTGAGTTTATATCGTAATTCCGAGTTTGTCGTAATTCCGAGTTTATATCTCAATTCCGAGTTTATATATCAAATTCCGAGTTTATCGTAATTCCGAGTTTATATCGTAATTCCGAGTTTATATCTCAATTCCGAGTTTATATCTCAATTCCAAGTTTATATCTCAATTTTTAATTTATATCTAACACTCAAGTTTATATCTAGCAATTCTATTATTTTTTTTTCAGAATTGTGAGATATAAAGTCACAATTTGCCTTTTGTAATTTTTTTATTTAATTCTCACTATTTCAGAGTAGAAAAGTGCAAATTGTGAGATATAAACTCGCAATTGTGAGAAAAGCTCGTTTCTGCCAAGGAATAAAGAAAAGTATTTGGATAATTGTGACTTTTTATCTCATAATTCTGACTTTTTTCCTGGCAATTCTGTATTTTTTACAAAGATCTACAAGAAAAAAGTTCGAATTGTGAAATAAAAAGTCATAATTACCGTTTTTATTTTATTTTGTGCAGAAAATGATCTTAAACAGAAACCTGACCAAAACAAAAACAAAAAACTAAATGGCATGGAAGAAATGAACATTTTCTATAAAGGCCATTTGTGGCGCTCCATCTTTCTGGGACGCTATAAATGAGCAACCAATGAAAATCCTCCAAACAGAGACACGCTTAAGTGACGTCATTCCTCTCTCTGCTCGACCGTGACGCTGTGGGCTGATAGCTAATACACATTTCTGCCTGCTTGCTCTCCAGTTTTTGCTCAGACTCTGGCACCTCATCCATTTCCCAAACAGCTCCTGGGTTTCCAGCATTGCGGCTGGTTTCCCGTTCACTGCTTTAATTTATGTCTGGGCTGCAGTGACGGAGCCAATGGTGTGATTTAGCCGCGGGCAGCGTCGCTTAAAACCAAACCTCACATTACAGCGCCAGCTAGCATCTAGCACATTGCCATCCCAGCCACTCACAAACCACATGTGATCCCCCGCTCCCAGCAAACACCTCGTTTAGCCTCACCGCTAGCGCTTAATCGCTTCAGAAAGAAACGAGGCTTTCAGAGTGAGCACTAAACTAACTAGCAGGTTCATGGAGAGCAGAGAAATGATCATTACACCAAACGCACGCAAATGCATTCCTGTGAAACTCTGAAGCTGTTTGGAAATCATGAGGCTTTTATAGAGAAGACGCTCATCTAAAAACAAGATTCAGCTGTTAAACATAGACATCAACACATGATTATGATTGTTTAGTTTATGCACTAATGGTTAGTGCTATCTAGCTATGAATATTTTTTTTTAAATCTATTGATTTATAGGAAACAAATATATATTTACTGCAAAAACAGACTTATTTTTCTTGATGTAAAATAGGATTATAAGTAACATATTAAATATAATTTCAAATATTAAATTAATACTATATATTGTATTATTGTAAAAAATATTATATAAAAATAATTTTCTTGATGCAAAATATGATTAGAATTAAAATTACAATTATATTACTATAAAATACACTTATATTTATATATTTTTAATACAAAATAATTATAATAAAGAACTTACATGAAATAAATATTTATTTTTTATTATATAATTGTATATTATTTATTATATTATTTATAATTAATAAATTATATTTATGTATTATAATTGTATCCATCCTTCTACTGATTCATTTAAATAAATCTATCAATTAATATGAAACAAATATATATTTACCGCAAAAACAGACTTAATTTTCTTAATGTAAAATTTGATTATGATATAAAATATTTAATTAAAATATCGCAAGTTAATTAAAATATATTAATATTATTTATTATAATTATATCCATCCATCTGCTAACTTGTGCATTTGATAAACTTTGTTTTAATTAACTTTGTAACAGTATTGTTATATTGTGTTCATAAAACAGAAGAGAACTGTTTCTCTTTCTCACAACACAACGAGCGCCAAACTCAAAAACATGACAAATAGAGTCAAACAAAGAAAAAGCTGCAGAGTTTCTCCTAAATCAGCATGAATTCCTCAGTTCTGGTAATGCAGGACCTGTTTAACCTGAACGGTCACTGCATGTCGATCCATGTCTCTAAGATCTCTGAACATCTCTCAGACGAATCCTAATGAAGAGACTATTCAAAAGAACTCAGAGAGAAACCACTTTTATTACAAAAATATACTGAATCATTCAGATGTCGGCACTGCAAACACAGCAGACGTTTGAGAGGCAATACAGACTCTGTTAGATTTCAACCACAGACATTTAAAATATATTTCTTTAACTCGTGGGTCATTTTCAAATCTCTACATTTAAATTAATCAGTAAATTTCTCAGTAACATATCAGAGCATATCTATTAAACATTACAAATGACCTGTCAAAACATTGTTTGTAATATATACTGTGTGTATATATATATATATATAAATTCATTTATTAATTAATAATATTTTTTATTTAATTAATTTTCTTTTTTTTGGTGAAATGTAACCTAGACATGCTTTCACCTAAAGACAAATAGTCACTAAAATCTTACTTACTTCATACTTTTTCAAACAGAATCATTATAATTAAGAATAATTATAATTCTAATAACTGTAATTAAAATTTTAAATAATTTTCAAAATGTCACTGAGCATCACAAATAATCGTAAAATCCCACATATTATATTTTCAGACATACATTATAAAGATTAAAAACAATTATAATACAAATTTATCAACTTAAAAACATACTTTTTGCATAAAAACACTGATTTTTGTGTAAATCTGATAAACCTGAATTGACTTCCACATACTGTATATAACAGCTTGTTTAGTATTCTGAGAAATCACTGAACATCACGGAGAACTAGAAATAAGATGAACGCGGGCGTCTCGTGTGTGAAGGGTTACGAAACAGTGAATCTGAAAAGTGCTGGTCTGGAATCACTTTATATCCCGTGAGTATCATTGTGAAAACCGAGAAGAGCTGATCCTGGGTCAGCAGAAATAGAAACTCACTCATGCTGTCATAGAGGAGTTTGTTTCTTCATCAGGTTTGGAGAAATGTAGCATTGCATCACTTGCTCACCAATGGAAGTGAATGGGTGCCGTCAGAATGAGAGTCCAAACAGCTGATAAAAACATCACAATAATCCACAAGTAATCCACAGCACTCCAGTCCATCAGTTAACATCTGGAGAAGACAAAAGCTGAAACAAATGCAGCATCAAGACGTTTTTAACAAATACATTGAGTCCATAATCCATAATAACGCTTCCTCCAGTGAAAAAGTGCATCTCCTGTTGTCTCTCACATCAAAATCCAGCCACATATATGACCCTGGAGCACAAAACCAGTCATAAGGGTAATTTTTTTATTCAATCATTTCCATTGATGTATGGTTTGTTAGGACTGGACAATATTTGGCTGAGATACAACTATTTGAAAATCTGGAATCTGAGGGTGCAAAAAAACCT